AGAGAGAGAGAGAGAGAGAGAGAGAGAGAGAGAGAGATTAGGAAATACATACTTTACATGGATTTATTTTGTGCGTGCTGGGATTAAAGGCATGCGCCACTATGCCTGGCCATTCCTTTTTGTTGCACAGCAAATCTCAATAAACTTCAGTGATAAAATACCATTGCTTTCTTTCTACATATCTGCAACTCAGCTGCTCTCTGGACTTGGCTGGACCTGACTCTGGGCTTGTTTGAGACCAGCCCTACTCACCTGTCTTAATTCTATTTAAATGAGGGATACTTCAGAAGGTAAAAGTCAAACCCAAGCCCACAGAGGGCACAGTCCAAGCTTTGGGCTGAGTTACCTCACTTATGTAGATCAAAATAAGTCAGATGGCTAGGCGGGCGGTGGTGGCGCAAGCCTTTTATCCCAGCTCTGGGGAGGCAGAGCCAGGCGGATCTCTGTGAGTTTGGGGCCAGCCTGGTCTACAGAATGACATTCAGGACAGACACCAAAACTACACAGAGAAAACCTGTCCCCAAAAACAAACACAAACAAACAAAAAACAAACAAACAAAAGCTAAACCCAACCCTGGTGGGGCAAGGAAGCATGCTCCTTCTTGGAAATCAAGGTAAGAGGATAACTGTTTGGGGGCAATGATCTCTGCCTTTATTCTGCTCTCATTTTATTGATAAGTTAGCTGATATAGCATCCCAACGTACAGCTAGCTCATTTTTACACAGACACTGAAGATCTGGTCACAAGGTCTTCAGATATGAAAGCAAATCAGAGATGCTAGAAGTGACTGGATCTACATTCCCTCTCATCCTGCCCCCCCCCCATCTCTTAGAGCTTTTATAATTGTCTTGCATTTAATTCTTCCTGTTTTCCTTTGTCGTATATTATTTGGCATCTACTAGAGAATACATATGTAATGCATAATGAATGAACCGTAAATCACAAATGTAATGAACAATTATTTATAGTACTTTTTTACTCCTTTGGGGAGAGGTTCTTTCTAAGAGCAGCATGGCCTGGAATTCAGGATCCTCCTACCTAAACCTCCTTAATGCTGCCTCTTAATGAGTTCTAAGTTCTAACTTCATCCCATTGTAGGTGAGGAGACCCTTTGCATATCTTTTTGTTTTTCAAGACAGGGTTTCTCTGTATAGTTCTGGCTGCCCTGGAACTCACTCTGTAGACCAGGCTGGCCTCAGACTTACAAGAGATCCGCCTGCCTCTGCCTCCCAAGTGCTGGGATTTAAAGGTATTTGACACCACCGCTTAGCTATTTTTTTTTTTTTTGCTTTTGCTTATCTTTTAAAACACATACACCAGGATTTGATTTGTGCCTCCCCCATATGGCCTGTCCTGGAGAAGGCCTCTGTGTCCTTGTGAAGATGTGTGTGCTGTCTTCTGCGGGTAATGATCTATGAGTATCTGTTGGCCGTAGATGGTTTACTGTATTGTTTATGGCCTCTAGTTCACTGGATTCTTCATTATACTTGGTTTACTTTTGGAGCCCAAGATTTATCATTTTTACATTTATGAGTATTTTACCTGCACATAAGTATGTATTCCATGTGTGTGCCTGGTGCCCCTGGGGATCAGAAGGAGGAGTTACATCCCCTGGAACTGAAGTTAGGGAGTTATCAACAGTTGTGAGCCGCCATGTGGGTACGGGGAACAAGTGCTCTTAACCAACGAGCCATCTCCCCAGCCACCCCTACCACAACAACCTCCTCCTTCCCCCAGTTAGGTTCAGCTTCTGCTTTCTTATTAGGCTGATCTAACACCTTCTCTATTTCCCACTTCCCTGAAGAACTCTTCCTCCCCTGTGGCAGAATATTGTTTTAAGATGTTACTTTTGTTTATGTTGCATTTGTTTAATTCTGTGAAGCTGTGTTACTGTGCCTGTCTAAAATATCTGATGGTCTAATAAAGAGCTGAACGGCCAATAGCAAGGCAGGAGAGAGAGAGAGATGGGCGGGGCTGGCAGGCAGAAAGGATCTATAGAAGGAGAAATCTGGGAGGAGATAGAAGTAGCCAGAGAATGAAGAGGACTCCAAGGGCCAGCCACCCAGCTATACAGCAAGCCACGGAGTAAGAATAAGATTTACCAAATAAGAAAACAGGAGCCGGGCGGTGGTGGCACACGCCTTTAATCCCAGCACTCGGGAGGCAGAGCCAGGTGGATCTCTGTGAGTTCGAGGCCAGCCTGGGCTACC